TCCTAATTTAATTCAATTCAATTCATTTAATAGAGAGCTTGGCAACAGCCAAAAGAGGCCAATAACAGCCAAGCACTAACAATAAACATAACAATACAATGCATTATTTTTAATGGAAACGCTAGTCATATAGGCACGTATTTTAAAATTACTCTTTCTGGACATCAGAATACATATGCAAGAAATGAATATTGACAAATGTCTTCCAAACAAGAAATATTATTGATTTAATCACGGAGTAAAGCATCGCGAATGGGGGAGAATTAATGTCAGTTGGAACGCTCCTTTTAATACGAACGAAATCAGGAAATAATGAAAAAATTAAAATCTTATTAAAGAACAGACATTAGACGACACTGCTGACGTAACAGCAAGAAACACGCTGATAAAATTAGCTCTGACGAACTAAATTGCATTGTCAAATGACAAGGCACTTAGGGAAAGTATAAAATAAAATGAAAAGATTGCTTTAAAAAGCGTTGCAGATGAACTGGAGCCAAATACTGGGAAGAGCCACGCGGATGATGTTGCATTATAACGAATCACACTTTCGGTATCATGTGTTTATTCGATTACTTATCGACATTGCAACAGCTTCTGAAATTATATAGCATCTAGTTACTAATAAGGACAAATGTGCAAGAAAGACGTAGTGGCTTATTCTGAAAGGATATCCCAGCATTCAACTTGACAGACGGTTTGCCGATTCCAGTCGGAATTTGAACTGGGTACTACTTCGTGGATATAAGTCACACAAGTTACTGCTGCATCAACACGTTTCGTCCTGTTCGATATAAAAATGTTTCCGTCATACAAGCCTATTGGCTCCCTGCAAAAGAACAAGTCGTGGTTTCACAGAGTCACAATCTCATCCCACCGAGAGGGAAAAAGGACGATAGACTTAGCGGGGTATTGAATGGAAAATGTCTTAGCAGCTAGTATTCTTGGAACCTTTGTTACAACTCAAGATGTCAGAACAGCAGTCATTTCATAGAGGAAATACGTCCCAAAAGTAAAAATGATAAATATGATCAGACTGTACAGAACAATTTCTGCACGACTGCATTCAAGATAGTGACGATTCTTCAATATTTCCTACTGTAATAAAAGGAAAGAGCTTCAGAACTGGAGGCGAAACGAAAACGAACCGACTCTTCATCCGACTCTCTATTGATTTATTTCTGCTAGCATCTCTCTCACTAGAACAGCGAATAAGAACTGCTTTCCTTGTAAGATTTGAGGTTTTCACAGCGGTGAGTATGAAGATTTCTGTCTTCTGGGTTGTTGCGCTGTGTAGTCTGGTCGATGTTTACCAACGTTTCAGAGGTCATACTGCCTCC